AAAGACATTAATAGGTAAAAAAGTGGCGTTCTTTACAGATTTACAAAGATTATCAGTCATATGTTCTCCCAAAGTCATGATATTTCAGATATTTGAATGAAACTTGGCAACATAAAAGGTTCCTCCTTGCCAAGCAATGCTCTGGATCAATTTGTCTAAAAATGTAAGTAGAGAGCTGGATTTATTAGTCAAATAAATCCAGTTCTCTACTAGTAAAAGCATGCATACTTTGTTATAGAAAATAAGATTGTCTCTGTGTATATCCATTGTTGGACAGTGTCCTATTGTGTGGTAGGTAGATTAAGATGCGTTCAGATAATATAGTTCACAAGTCATGGGAATATTTCGCATGTGTAGGCTACAACTCATACAATAAATGTAACATATTTACACCCCCTCCCCTTCTCTCTCTCTCTCCCTCTCTCTCACGCACACACACACACACATGCACGCGCGTACACTCACGCACGCACGCGTGAACGATAACAATGTATAAACGGGACTATCTTCCCAGACTGGACTAAATAAGTACCATACTCTTTAATAACAATCTTGATGCCTCACTTTCCCAAACAGAGCACACAGGATGAGTCCAAGTGTGTGCTTTCCAAAGAGGGGGGAATAGGCTTTCATAACGCAAACACAATGCCATACCACTTCTCAAGATGTTTGCTTTTCTGTTTCTATTCTTCTGTCATGCAATCAAGCAAATAAAAATGACTCTATCTATTGATGTATTGTGACTAAAATGCAACAAAAACGCAAGTTATCAAAGCCCCCGTTTAGTTTTCAAGTATCCTTCCCCCCCTTTCCGGTTCACATAAAAGCGGGGCCTCGTTTGTAGCGCCCGAGGCGACCGATGGCTGATGACGTCACTCAGTGGAAATTTCCCAGCCGCCGGTTGTTCACCCAGCACGCGCAAATATGGCAATGCCGCTTTTTCCCTTAGTTACTCCCACATTTTTAAAGATTACGCGAAAACCGCTAAATACAGAAGCATGAAATTTTAAGGGAATAAAGAAAAATGGTGTACAACGTATCAGTCAGTTTGACAAATCATAGCTCCGAAAAATCTTCAAAGCGCACCACATCAACCACTTTCGCAAACGTTTTCGACTACTTCTTTGATGGGTACAAAGTTGTCAAACTTCAAACTACTAGATTGACCTCTTTTCTGATTGGCTGCCAAGTTTCATTCATATCCATTCACGAGAAGCGGCGTGAGAGCGAGTTGAAGACAACAACCTTTGCGTTAGTGCGTCCCACGAAACACCCCGCTGCGGGGGCCACAAATCAGCAGAACAAAACGCGCTCGGTGGGCATTGCTATACAAAGTCAAGATAACTTGCAAAATCATTGGTCACTATTTATAACTTTGACCTGTAATTTACTGTGTCATTTTCCACATTTAAGGAATGCTGAAATTTTCCATTGAAAAAAGGTCAGCGTCTTTAGCCCTTTATAGCTCCGCGCTTCCCAATCGAAGAAGGTCATCCCTATAATGTATATATAGAGGGCCTGCATGCTTCCCGGGTAGCCCGGCTCATGTCCTTTATAAAGGGCCTGCGCGCTTCCAGGGTTTCAGTTTGTCCACTTATAGTGTCCGGTTTGATAGTTTATGTGCTGCCTACAAAGTGTAACAAAGCCTAGCTTATTATGTGAAGTGGAGGGCTGTACACATAGCCTCGATGCTATGCGTATGGGAGGGTCGTACGCATAGCCATAAGGCTATACGTACGGGAGCCGTATGCATAGCCACTTCGAATTATATTATATAAGGGCTATCGATCTAGATCTATTCTAGATCTAGGCTCAGGCCTACATTGTGGACATAAAAATATAAAAAAGGGGGAAAAGGAAAGTGGCCGTTTCTTCAAGCCATTTGTAGTTTGTTAAGCTACTTGTTGACACTTGTTCTAGCCTGCTGCTATACAGTATGTTTGCCTGGCCGTCAATCATGGCGGAAGGACTTGCTCTGCAACGAGTGAACACCCCAACAAACACAATAAAGAAGACCTAACCTTGACCCAACCCCTAACCTTACCCTTAGAATCTAGATCTAGATATATAACCTAACCCTCTCTCTACTGTTTCTTAGAAGTTAGAGAGTGGTCGCTCATTATGGAATCGGAGTGTCTACGTACACGGTAACCAGGCACCTAGCCTCAGTGTCTACGTACACGGAAACCAGCAACCGGGCACCAAGTCTCAGTGTCACGTACATGGTAACCGGGCATATATATATACACGGTAACGGGCATGTAGTCTCAGTGTCACGTACACGGTAACCCGGCAGTTCAGAACTCCAAGTTTAGTTTTTGTCATCCGGTGTTGCCTTCATCCCCACCACTCCCCCGACTGTACCTTAAAAAAAAAAATACCGGGGTAATCCCCCCATTCCCAAGCCCTATACTTCGCAGCGTACAGCTTTAGAAGACTTTGAATGAACTTTGGTGACACCAACCGGTACTCACAATGTATGTGATGCGCAGGCACAGGTTCACTGACCGGTCATGATGGCGAGCCCAAAAAAACGCTTGTATGACTTTTTCAGCAAGTGACAGCACAGGACAAATATATTGATTTATTTTCATTCCGGATACCGTTTACGTAGATACTCAGACTGAGACTAGACTTGTGTCCGGTTACCGCTGTGTACGTAGATACTGAAACTAGAATCTAGGTGAGACTAGGTGCCCGGTTACCGTGTACGTAGATACTGAGACTAGGTGCCCGGTTACCATGTACGTAGATACTGAGACTAGGCTAGGTGCCCGGTTACCGAGTGCCGTGTAGTGTACGTGTAGACACTCCGTTATTGTTATAATAAACGGAGTGCGTACACGGTAACCGTGTACGTAGCCTCAGGGTCTACGTACAAGGTAACCGTGTACGTAGCCTCGGGGTCTACGTACACGGTAACCGGGCCCGTAGCCTCAGGGTACGGTAACCGGAAGGTCCAAGAGATAATTCACTCAGCCACTATCTCTCTCTCTCTTTTACTTCCCCTCCCCCCCTCT